GCCCCAGTCCTTATCGATCTTATAACTGGAAGTTTGTAGCTTCTGACCACCCCCATCCAATTCCCCCTCCCCAACCCGCTGCCTCTGGTGACCACAAATCTGATCTCTTTCTCTGTGAGATCGGTTTTTGGTTTTTTTAGATTCCACATATAAGTGAGATCCTACAGTATTTGTCAGTTCTCTGTTCCATATAGAGGTGGAGACGAGTTCGCCTTTAGGGGCAAACAGTTCCTTTGCTTTGGGGACACAGCAAGATGCCTTCTAGTAGTGAAATGGTGGAGCCGAAATCGTTTACTGAGAGAAGAGAGTTGCTTCTGTGGAGACAAAGTTGCTTCGGGAGAAACTGAAGGGAGAGGAGGAGGGAGGGGGCCCCTATTTCCCGCCCAGCCCTGGGACTGGGCTTGCTCCCTCTGAGACACAGCGGAAGAGTCAGACGCTCGGAAGGCCCTTCCTGGGTGGCTGGTGGGACTCGGGACATGCGCGCTGCTGCTGCAGGCCCCTGCTCCCTGCCCACTTGGAGGAGGGCGCCCAGGGCAGACACTGAAGTTCCTGCCTCAACCACCTTTCCCTCACGGTCCTTTACCGAGGCTCTGTGTGCCACAGTCTCACTTCCCAGCCTCCCATGCGCTAGGGGAGTCTAGGCAACCCAGTTCTGGCCAATGAAATGTAAGAAGTCTACAGCTGGGAGGAGGGGGGGAGAGGAGGCAGTTCTAGAAATGATTTCCTTCCTGGTTAACATGGAGGCTCATGAGAACAGCTCTCTTCCCTGAACAACTTCTTTCCTGCATTTGGAGACTATCAAGTGAAGACTCGATGCTTGGTGCTGTGGCAACCTTCCTGTGACCAAGAGGTGCCAAACTGAGGATGACAGAGTAGAAGGCTGGAAAGAGTCTGGGCCCTCGTTAACATTGTTGAGCCATGAACCAACAGTGAGATCACCCACATCCCAATTTATTGTTCCATGATAACAAAAATCCCTATTGTTTAGGCCATTTGTTTTTAGTCCTGTTACTTGAATGGTTCCTAACTGACAGCTTTGGGGGTATTAGGAAAGTGTCCCCGTGGTGGCCTCAGAGGGGACCACAGGGGCCATGATGAGACCACTCCAAGCAATTCTGTGGACCACAGACAAGCCCTGTGGGAGCCAGTGCAGGAAAGGAAGAGCAGGTGGCTGCCACGTGGTGATCGCCACTGGCACCCTGGTTTATGGACACCTATGAGGCACCCTGTTGGGGACTCTGGAAATAACTGAGGAGCACTTTGTGAGAGTGACTGAACCGTCTAATACATAACGGGAGGTGTAAGTTACAGACCGAGGGCATTAAAAGCAGGATGGAGTGTGGCAATCGATTAGTGATGTCTGTCACAGAAACAAACTGAGTGGTAGCAATGGTGTGTCCCACATTTGCCTCCTCCAGGCTGCTCACTCCAAAGCTGCATCCAGAGATGCCAATGGCCCCAATTCCCACTCCAGAGGGAAAGTCAAGTGCTGGAGTCTCTGGGGAACCTGAGCCCCCTCAGCCTTGCGGAGCAAGGGCTCCCAGGACTCCATTAATTAGGAGGCCTCCCACAACGCCCCATGCTAAGGACTCTCACGCTCCAGTGAGAACTCTGCCTCCTCTGCTGACCTGGAGCTCCCTGAGAGCAGCACCCACCTCGTGTCCATCAATGAACCACAACGGGATCAGGCACAGAGCCTGGCTCAGCAGACACCCAAGGAAAGCGTTAGTGACACCATCCAGGACTGATGATCAGGCAGTCGCCTGCCTGAGGCAATTACAGGGGTGCTGAAAATATCACCTATCAGGCATCTGAATCCCACCGTTCAAATTCACTCCTCCGTGGAGTTAAGTTGATGTTTCCAGAAATTTCACCCGCGAGGCAGTGGGGTGAAGAGCGAAGAGCACAGGTGGCCAGGGTGCATCCTGCCTCTGCTATCCCCAGCCATGAGACCTTGGAGAAGTCATTCAACCTTTCCGAGCCTCGGTTTTGTCACATGCAAGATATGGACACCTGCCTCGGAAGGTTCCATGGTTGAAGCAAGATGAGCCATGGAAATGGACTTTGGCAATTCCAGAGCCCTGAGCGGCACGTTCATTTGGGAGATGATCTACTTAGCAGAGAAAAGAGGATCCTGCCGGGTTGGGAGACAGCATAGACATCCTTCAAAGGGGAAAGCAAGGCTCGGATTTAATAATTCATTCAGTCAACAAATACCTGATGAGCCATGCTCTGTACTAGGCATGGGACACAAGGGTGAAAAACGGATACCGTTCCTGCTCTCAGTGAGCTCAGAGCTGCACTGTCCGCACACTAGCCACTAGCCACATGAGACTGTTTGAATTTAAATTAATTAAAAGTGAATAAAACTGAAAGTTCAGTTCCATGGTCATACTAGTGCCATACGAAGTGCTCAAAGCCACCTGTGGCTGGTGGCTACCATACTACAGCGCAGACACACACTTCCATCTTTATAGAAAGTTCTTATTGGGACAGTGTTTAGATACAGTTTAGCAGGGGAGACAGACTCTACACAAAGAGCCACACAAACCCCTGATTACACACCACCACATTTGTCAGCGGGAAGCCATGGGCAGTGCCCTCGCCATTTTTCAGGCGAGGAATAGAGCCGAGGAAGCCACTGGTTTTCATGAGCCCGAAGTGGACGGAGCATCTGAGAGCCCGACGCAGCTCCCTGCACCTCTAGAGCCTTTCTCCGCAGGGCTGGAGACTGGGCAGCCCTCCGGGGACATGAGGCTAGTCTGTGACAATGTCTGACTTTGCAGCCAGTTTAGCCACTGGCTGAGAGAAATGGCCTAAGTTGGATCCCAGCTCTGTCAGCTATAGCCCTGAGCCAGGAATTAACTCCTCTGGGCCTCAGTGTCTCCATCTGTAACATGGGGAGAATAATAGTGTCTGACCTAGAGATGCTGGAGGATTAATACTTTGAAGGATATAAAGCACTAGAACAGCGCCTGGCACACAGTCAGCACCGTATAAGTTATCCCGATGATGACTTTATCATCTCCATTATCAAACTATGGTGATTACTATCCATGGGTCCTTGAACTTTTGGGGGGAGATGCACCTGCCACTCAATAGCCTCCTTCCTTTTCACTCTTTGCTTCCCAAAATATCACCCGAAGGTAAATAGACCATCACAGTCACGGTCCGTCTGTAAATCCGCCAGGATTGGGAATATAACCATAACTGTAATATTAATCGACTCTCGTGCCAGACTCCACGTGAAGCATTTTACATGCATTATGGGTTTCATGTTCACAACTCCCCAACAGGCATGTACTACTAAAATTATCTCCATTCTGCAGATGGGGAAATTAAGGCCCAAAAAGGTAAACTTGCTGCGTTTACACAGGAAAGAAAAGGATCACGGCGTAAGTTCCACCAAACACCACCAGGTGGCAGTGCCCACCCACTTCCAATTCCGCAGCCTGGCGGGGCACGGAGGAAGGCTGGTCTCGCAAACGCTATATAATGATGGCCTACTGTGTGCCAGGCACTGTTCTGGGCGCTGACGATAGGCCGGCAAATAAAACAGGAAAATTTTCTGCCCTTCTCTTCCATTTTTCCTTAAAGGTAATAAAAGTTGTTGGCAGAGATGCGTACATGGCCTGACCGGGAGAAAACCGACTTGGCTGGGCGGGACCTGGGAGGCCAGGGGCTCGCGGGAGGGGATGCGACTATCTGAAAGGTCCTTGTTCCCCACAGATCAGGGCATGCTGCCTCCCCACCATCGCCACCGCAGGGAGGTGGGGAGCAGGGGTCCTCTCCCTGTCGTGTCCTGCAGGGCCGGGATGGGGCGGGGGGCGGGTCTCACCCTGAGAAACCAGAGTGAGGGGTCCTCAACGTTCTGATTTGGAGGAAGGCGACCTGAGGAAGCTGGTCTGAAGGTCACCCAGGGAGCCAGCCCCGTGGGAGTGCTGGAGCGCAGCCCCCAGGCCCGGTGGGGCAATGCCGACCCGGACAGCGGGGCGGACTAGGGGCTGCACTCGAGGAGGGAGGCTGCCCTGGATGCTTCCTTCAGGCTGGTCCCGCGGCCGCCCCGTGGGCGCGCATCCCCGCTGTGCCCTGAGCGTCTGCGGAGCGCGAGGCGGGGGGCCCCGGCCCGTGAGTGTGTGCGCCCGGGAGAGTGATGGACGGGTGTGTACGTGGTGATGTGTGCGGCGTTGGTGGTGGCGATCCTGCGTGTGGACTCACGTGAGGGTGCACCACGTGGACATGTGTGTTTGGGGTGGCCAAGGTCGCGGGCGTTGGGCTCAGTGTGAGCACAGGGACAAGGAGACGTGGGGGATGCGGGGAGTGGAGTGTGCCCTGGCGGGAAGGGGCTGCGTTCTGACCTGCGTAGAGGAGGCCACGCCGTGCGTGTGCCGTTGCACACGGGGGCGTTGGTGACTTTGGAACGCGCGCGGTGGGATCCTCTCTGCGTCCTGGACCCGGTGCTGGTATGCTGGGAGATGTTACCGTTTACGAACCCGCGTTGGAGAGTGTCCCGGGGGCGGGAAAGGCCCTGCGCTAGGGCACTCCAGGGAGCATCCCTCTGTGCGCGCGATCCTGCAAATGGATCCACCTGGGGATGTGGCCGGCGCGTCCGGACTGCTTATGGGAGCACTGTGGATGTGGGGGCAGTGTCCCCGAATTTGGGACCCTGGAGGGGGTCGTCTCAGCCCTCCAGGCAAGGAGCTGGGAGCAAGCGCGGGGCGTGCGCGCTGTTCGCGCCTGGTTGGACGCTGAGCAGTCTTCAGGCGGGGGCCGGGGGCGG